GAGAGAGAGAGAGAGAGAGAGAGAGAGAGAGAGAAAGAGAGAAAGAGAGAGAGAGAAAGGTGCACGCTCTGTCACTCGGTGCTGTGGTGTGCTTTTTATGGGAAAACCTTTTGATACAAGGTATTCTTACTTGGTCTTACATGCCAAGCGTTTCAGAAACATTTGACGGATTCGGGAAGGAAAATGTCTGCAATTTGAAAAGTAAAAGGAGAATCATGGCACCTGTATTTGGTTCGTAGTCATTATGGATAGGTCAAAATTAAAAAAAAAGGGTTTTTAGTTTACAAAGTTGTCTATTTTTCTTCTTTTTTTATCTAAAAAAAATCATATTGCAGAATTCTATTACTGACTCGTAGTAATTTTGTTTTCATCAACCATTTTCCCATGTCATTAGATTTTTGTTTATATTTCTTGGTTTTTCGGTTTTTGCTTGGCCCATGAGTCGCGAAATGTATTTCAGACAAAAGCTTCAAAAAACAAAAATATATTCATCAGTAAGTAATATTGGTACAATTTTTCGACAGAATAAAAGAATCAACAATATTAATTTTGGAAGCGTTCAAATCCGATAAAAGCCGATATTTATTTATGGTTATGGGGCTGCATGGCGAATGCTATGAGTCTTCGGCCTTGCTTTTCTGGCCACAGCACACATTAGGAAGCAGTGCTGGTGTCCGTGGGGGTAATTGTTGGCTCCTTGTCATTGCACGCGGATGTCAAGAGTTCGATCCCGAGAGCGGAAATTAGTGTAATCAGTTCAGTGTAACCGCTTGTCCGCTGAAATGATGCATCCTGCTTAAAAGGAAGACATCATGCTTTTTTCAAAATCCGTTAAGCACAGACTTAGCAATCATCTAAGGACATTTTATATGACTTTGGGGGTCTTGTACGTTATTCAGGTAGTTAGATGTACTTTAGTTCTGCGCTTATAGGAAAATTTTTACACTTTAGGGTGCCAAGACCCCCTACAAAGCGTTATTTTAGTGGGGCGTAATTTTCTTATCTATAAAGCTACAGAGTTAATATTTTCACAGAGTAAACTCAACATACGTAGTTGCAACATTTTAAAGGATTTTTTAAATATCGTTTATAATAAGCGAGATACCCCGGATTTTAACATATGACTTGCTAAAACACCGAACGTTTCCTTAAAATCACTCCATCTGAGGCATATAGAACGTAGTAATATGAAAAATATTCCATAAATCAATACAGTAAGCCTCTAACAGGTTGCAACTACGCCAATTGCCCACACTGAGGACAATTTTCAAGGGAATTCTAAAAACAGCCTCCGAAATCTCGCAACACTAAAACCCCATACCCAGCCTTAATCATCACGCTTTAGAGAAAACGCAAAAAGACGCAACAAAAAACAAAAATGCGTTCGCATAGGTATTACTCTTTTTACAACCGCAGATACCGATCACCCAGTTTGGAATAGAACTATGTGAAATGAAATAAGAATGCAGTTTGGAATGATGGGATAATACCATTTATTTCAAGAGAATAAATATAACACAAGGAAAGGGTGAAAAAAGTTACACCAAAGCTTGAAACAGTGCAATCATGGTCATACTTAAATTAGAATAATAAAGCGATAAGAGAAACACTTTTAAACAGTGAAGTACATTTCTCAACAGGTGAAATTTTCAGGATAAAATTTGTGTAGGTTGTGAGGTGTCTTTTTTTCTTCCTAAAATATAATTATTTCGTCTTCAACTTCCACTAAAGTAACCGGCTTTGACTCTAGACAGTAGCATCACTGAAACCAAACAAAAAGCCCCACTTCTGTTAGCTGAGGTAGATGACTGGTAACATACACAATAATGCCGACAGTTTAAACTTATAATCCAATTCAGGTCTGATCACCTGTGCATAATTAGTATTGATTAGCAAAGCATTTAGCATTGCAAGCTGAAGATGCGAGTTCGATTCCGTATCAGAAAGATGATTTCATCAAGTATCTCCGTTCTTGCTGATAATCTCTATGAAACTAAGAAGCTAGAAAAAAGGAAGAAAAAGATCGGGGCGGGTTATCATTGGTAAAGAAAAGAGATACACGCGATAAATAGGTAGTGGGTAATCTATTTCTTTTTTAAAAGAAGAATGATCCCATTCGTTAATCATTAGTTAGAGGGTACGAAAACTTCATTCCCGTCTTTAACAGGATTCAATTATAACAGTGATATCACATCAGTCCCTGCGATCTTGTTTTTACCGAGGCCTGTGGTTTGCTGACTTGAATAAGAAATAATCCGTTGAACCTCTTTTACTGGCAGTCCGCTATCGGTGGATACGAGGTTCATTTTTAAAAGAATTCATAAGTTTACAACGCTATAGCTAATCATACCCGTATGCTAATCCCTGTCTTTTCTTTCGAACGGCTTGCTTGGCTTATTAGCTTTAGAATTTTCATTGAGATGAACTTGTTAATGCTATTATGTCTTTGAACGAAAGTAACAATTACCAATGTAAAACTTTGGCCTCGCCAGGACTATAATTTTCAATTCTACGACGGCGAGTATGAAAGTTTGCAAAAAGTTCATTACAGCATCCCTTTCATTGTTAGCTTGTAAGATAAGGTAATCTATATTATATTGACCTAACATTTGACGATACGTGCTGTGTGCCCTCAGGAGATCTGTGACACAGGATACTCTTACATGCAACATTATCTCTACACATCACATCAGCCCCCCCTCCCCCCCCCCCTCTCTCTCTCTCTCTCTCTCTCTCTCTCTCTCTCTCTCTCTCTCTCTCACTCATACTTGTACGTTTTCTCACTTAAAAAAACAAACCCATACCCCCCTAACACCCCTCCCTCCCAAATCAATTCGTGGTGTAGCGATCAGGCGCTTCACTGTTGCACTCGGGAGACTTGAGTTCGATTCCTGAGCATTGAAACTTTCTTTTGAGTAACTGGGTCTTTCTGCTTGGATGTTGTATCTCTCTCAGCTCGGGTTAGCTCTGACAGTGACAGACAGGGTCGAAAGCCAGCTTCCTAAACGATTTAAATTGTATCAATAGACGTGTAAAAACACCTACATTACCAACCTCACTAAAAATAACAACAACCAAACAACAACCAAAAAAACTCCCACAAAAAAACAAACAATAAAACCCCCCCACCACACACACATCAAGGTAAATGCACGACAAACCCTGGAAAACAGCAACTTGAAAGGTATACTAAATCGAACACAACTTCTTGGAGGGTACTGAATGAACATACAAAAAAGACAAAACTGTACCAAAATAAAGATCAGTGAGAAATAATAATATGTCAAAGTTTCGCTAAAAACAAAAGCAAATTTGGTGGTTCCGTTTGTGAAAACGGTTCAACGGGCTTTTGAATTGAAAGAAAATAGTAGCGTGATAATAAAAGAAACTGTTGAAGATTCCATACCGCGAAGCAATCTCTGACTGATTATTGACGTCAGGGTCACTCTTTTTAGAACCAGGGATTCATTTTATCCAAGACAAACTAAGATTTACGAAATGGGGTGTCATGTGTCCTGAAGCATAACTAAACTGTCAGAAACCCACAATTCTGGATTATTTTACGGTTTGGACGAGGAGACGCTTGCGGTTACAAAGATACTAAACGTGCTAGGGTCACGCGGAGACACGTTGTTATCGTCACCATCTAATTGTGAGCTCATTTGAGGCTAATTTGATATTTTAAAAAATGGGCCTTACTTTGAGGAAGGTTTTCAAATGGTGATCAGGGGATATCGGTTCCTACGGTATTCAGGTACCCGAAAATGTAAAAAGTTGAAATTCTATATTTTGAACCACACATCGTTTTTTTACAAACCCGTGCCTTCACTTTAAATTACCTTGCTATATTGCAGTTCCCACCAAAATGGAAAATTATACTCCAGTCAGTATAAAACATATAAATACCTTCGATATCGGAATGTGGCTATCTGAAAGCAATGAGCTATACGATGTAAGAGATACGGCCACATACGTAAAATGAGTTGCACTGTTGGTTGAAGAACCAGCACTCGATTACCCTTGAGATCTAGACTCTAGCAGTAGAACGCAAGGAAGAAACTGGTCTACTTCTTTCGGTGGAGCATCGTATTCAGAATATCTTTGTACTTTGAGCTCATGTTATAATACACAAATATGTTCAGGGTTGAATTTAAGGCTTCCAGAGACCCGCAAATTCCCAAACAAAGTAAGGAACAAATTCCTATATCTCCCAGCCATATTATGTTCGTCGTTGATAACGGCTGCAACGAGGTTGACACATCCTGGCAGCAAACAAATAATAAATATGATTGAAATCAGAAGAATCATTTTGACAACCTTTTTGTCTCTGTTCGAAAAAGAATCCTGTTTTGCAGATCTGGAAGTCGATCGTCGCCATTTTGATTTTTGAATAAGATTTTCCACGAGGATAGTCGTGCAGGAAGTGACTGCAATGAAAGCAGACAGTTGAGAAAAGGCGTTAATCGAAACTGTAATGCTCTCGATATAAATGCCGCCAGGTATAAAAACCAATCCTATTTTCGTGACATTTCTCTCTGGGAAATATTTTGGTCCGAGTCTGAGGGAATAACACACAGACGCAAGACTAGCAATCATAGTTACAAATATACCAACGATTACTAAGACTGTTCTTTCGGGAGTGATGATTGTTTTTACTTTGAGAGGCAGAGCAATACACAGACACC